GAAAATGTGGCGACTATAGTAAAAAGTTTAAAGCCAACTCCTAAGTACTTATTCGCCATAAACTGAATGTTTGAGGAAATTGCGTCGCATTTTCGTAAAAACAAGTGCAGGAAATGGCTACATTAAGGGGAGGGCGTTGAACTTACCTATCGATTTGTTCAATTCCTATATTAGGTACCTAGTTAATGAATAAATGACGCTTTTGTATGTTGTCCGTTCTACAGGCTTGTAGATATTTGGCAATGAATTACGATGTTCAGTAAGTACATATACCATTTATTCAGGTCCATATATAATTTGAAAGCACTATAGGACTATATACTTTAATTCTTGTGCTATTTTTCGCGTGTTTCTAAGACGTAATAAGGCATCAGTCATTTGACGAGAATATTCGGCATTCGTGTTTGATCTACAGTTCACGATCGACAGCTTATTAGGCGCTAATTTGAATTAAAAGGGGCGAGTGGTAAACCAAACACTGAATATAATGTCTTCAAAACAACATTTTTTTAAAGAAGCTTTTTATGGTATCCAAAGTACCTACCTATAAAAAATTTGCTACCAATCTCCGTACCTACTTTATATTTGTGGTCAGTGGCGTACTTCTCCATGGTCAAAAGCATATTTGCATAATTTTACCAGTTTCAGCATGTTTTTTTACGTTTTCATATTAAAAAAAGGTTCATTCTTTAATAGTACCTCGCAAGAAAAAGTGGTTTCCATTAAAAAGTGACCCTGTGGACACACACCACTGTAAATAATTTTTAAGCATTTCTTAAAATTGTTAATACAATAAATTGCTTTGACTAACACTAACAAAAAAATAACCAGTTTATCCTGTATATTAAATACTCTATGGGGAAGGTGTAGAAACTAATTACTTTGATTTATAAACCATTAGGGGTTTTTAAATAACTTAAGGAGGCTTAAGAGGCAAACTTAGCATCGACTTCCGGTCTAAACGGAATCTCGAAAATATTTTCGTTCGATCGGAAAGATGGATTAGAGGTTAATATGTTGAACGGTTTACGAAAAACCCCTAACTGACGCGTATGTGGTTTAGCATTCCCAGGATCAATCCACACATCAAGTAGGTAACTCTAGGTATACGAACATACATCTTTGAGCTGAGTTATCCTGTTTAAAGTGAGACATTTATTTCATATTTAACATTAGTTGAGTTTAAATGAATCAAACAGTTAATGCACATTTTGAGCAATTTAGTGTTATGTTGATATTTTAAAAAATGAAGGAACAATAAACATTTGGCCTCATATCTTTATCCAGTACTTTTTAATTAAACGATACCAAATAAACAATTGCCCTTCAAAAACCCCCAGAGGCACTATTAAACAATTTTAGCATTGGAAATGCTTGTGTTTTGTATAGGTATGAAGTTACCGGTTTCGTCAAGCAGAAAAGAAGACAGTGGTGTCGCATCAAGTGTTGATTGTACCGTGCTCGGCCGCAATCGGTAGATTAAAGAAAAGTCGCGGATACTGTCGATACGCTACTGACTTTATAGTGCGCAATTGTTTTCTTAATTCCAATCTAAAATGTTCGCATGTCTCTCGTGATCGTATTACAAGCATGACGTTACGACGTTTATTATTCCGAAAGTGTAAGTTTGCGACACGAGCGAGCTCGCGAGCGAGTGAAGCAGGTGATCCCGAGTGAATAAGGGTTATTTGTGTTCTACATATGGCGTTATACGGTTACCATTTCCAATGTCTCCGATGGTTGCATGGATTGCGAAATCTGTGAATTTTTTTTACATAGACTGACAATTAAAAACTTACAGTAGAATATCTCTCACAAACAATGGTACCAAAATTTTTTCTAGGGTGAAGGCGGAGTGTCAAAGAATGACCTATATCCTATTTTTTGTTGAGTAATTGCACTGTTCATAATTAAACACTTTGGAAATATTATGCGTTAGAAGATGATTCCTTAAATTATCCTTATTGTTGAAATGATGAATGAAAGCAATACTTGTCGTATCTATAACAATTGTTATTCATGTTGTTGTTGCCCTTGTTTGGTTTCTAAATATCTACCTGGGGCAAATTGAGATGAAATTTAGCTGTTATTTCATGTGTTAATTTGGATTAAATTACTAAGTTCATTTTCATAACAAATTTGACGTTGTAAGTATACGTTCACTTCTACTACATTTTTATAATAAAAATCCTTTGTAGAAAAGAATATCCTTCTATTTAATAAAAAATTCCGGGAAACCGAAATTTCTCATTACACACTTCTTTTATTGCAGACGTCTTTGAGAACCGAAAGTCATATTAGGTTCAATCGTTAGCGGCGAGTTGTTAACGGAGGTCCGCACTTTGGCGGGATGTGTTCTTGTGTAAAGACATCATTGGAATAATGCTAACCGTATTGACGATACATAGTTAAAAGTACCAAAGCGGTGACATTCTATTTGATTGGCTATGCCCAGTGTGCATTTCATGCAGCTTGATTCATAACTAAGATGTTAAAAGGGCGTTCTTTATTTTTTGAGCTTCATTGCCAATTCACGAACTGCAAATCTACAAATTTGATAAAGAATTCACATGCAAAATTTCATTGAAATCGGACCATCCGACAATTCGACGCTAAAAACGGTAAACCGCTACATATTGGTTAGGCTCAGATAGTCATGTGACTGGTTTATTGACTTGTTCCTATATCTATTAGTCTGCGCGCTTAGGTCCTAAAATCAGATAAAGTTCGCACCTTTAAGTGAAGCCCTTAAGTGCGGGTTGCCTACTCCTTTGGGTTCTGCCATAGAGTACTCTATGGTTCTGCTAAGCAGCTACGTGATTTACTGTTAGCTGCAAATTAGAGGTAAAATGGGGATGTTATTAAGCCCTATATCTTATTTAGTCGTTTATCTGATACCTATTGTGCAACCGATTTTATCTCTATTCGGGGCTGGGGGGGTCAACTAATTAATTACTTTGTTGAAAAATTTAACTCGATCCTAAAAAACATATGCAAAACTGTGATCAATTACCGTGTACCTAGTTCTAGCTTAAAAACTTTCTAAGAGTATGTAGAGCATCTGTTCGGCCTGTTTATTCGCAAAGAATGCACCGATGATATACAGCGCACTGATGTCGTCAGTCGTGTGAGATAGATAATAGCATTGAATAAAAAACACTATAAGAAGCCTAACCCCGTGGAAATAAAGCGGGACAGAGATTGAACTGAGAATATAATGGGAACACTGTTAAGTGTCGATTCTTGATGAGGAGAATGAGAATTTGCTTTACCGGTATTTACCGCAAAGAGAGTTCGGCGGTCACAACCAATGCGGGTACAAGGGATATGTCGCGCTTTCTTCCATAAGCGTTCGGCTTCTTATAGTGTTTTTATCCAATGGTAATAGGTATCCTCCCGATAGCCTGAAGAAGCCCATGAAGTTTCCCATGAAACGACGCAGCCAAAAGGTCGGCCGTATTTTGTACAAGACAGTGGCAATAGGGCAGATTTGTTCAGATTCGTGGCCAATGTTAGGGCAACAGTCCTGGGATGGCGTTCTACTCTGCATGGGGCCTGACGTGTTACCAAGCATAGAATATGAAGTGACCTCCTTAAGCCCATGTAACTACGCAGACACTCGCATGTTTCTGCACTTGTCAGCGGCCCTTCCGGTGTTTCCCGCGACACTGGCTGAAGATTTGCGGCTAGACATCGAAAACTTCTGGTGTACCTCCCTTCAGATTATTATCTGTTCAAAATTCGAGATCTTTGTATAATAGACAAATATCACAAAAGTTTATTCCAGAACAAAGGGATTTTCGTACTGAATTTAGGTGACAATCCCCATTCTATATAGTGTTTTTGAGTACAGGGTTAATAACTGTCGGAGTTAATACCCCCCTCCCCCCCCCTCTCAATTTATCCCTAATTTGCAGTTAACCATAATTTGCCGATTTTGCGCATAGCGAGAGGCTAAATAGTTCAGTCACATAAACTGTAAATGACCTAGACGCGTAGCAGCACTCAAAGGGGCAAGCAACCCGGACTGAAAGGTCGACAAAAATGGTCCAGTCATTAACAATCAACATTTTTGTATGCAACTCACCCTAACGTGGTGCCACGTCGGAACTTTAAGATGAAGGGTCAAAGATCACATATGCCAATTTTCATAGCTCAAAAGTGCGAAATTTTTTTCCTAATCTCCCAAACTACTCGAAAAATAAAAAAAGTTACACACCTAGTTATTAATTTGTTAACTAATCAATTTCGGACATACGCCAGAACACTACAACCTGTAACATGTGTCCTAAATCTGTAGAAAACTTGGCTGAAATTGATTCATAAATCAATGATGTTAGCTCTACAAATTTATAATACATGTATTTGTAACTGTAACGGTTTTCAAGGTCCTCGTGCTGTTCCTATTTATCTTAGGCATTCTGTATTAGGACCATTTTGAGCTGTGTTCTAATTGCAAATTGCAAGTCATCTAGTATATTACTAATTAACCTGTTTTTAGTATGATTGTTTAAAATTGTGTTTATGACAAGCTAATAAGTCGCCGCTTCGAACCACCAATCAAATCAAATCAAATCAATATGCAAAAAATGAAAAAGGAGTGGAGCAACCTGTATATGATCAACACATGAAACTCTGGATTTTTACTTGTAGGTACCACCAAAGTATCCCACTTGATTAGACCTGATTAGAATAACCTTTCTTTTGGCAGATTGTATTAGAGACATAATTGGCATTTTCTAATTTTTATAATAACTGCAATAAACGCTTGTTTATAAAGGTAGAGTAACGCGTGAATAGGCGCATTTACACTTCTTTGTCTGCTTCTATTGAAAGAAACGAGAATTAATGAAAAATCAATGTCGTATAAAAAGAAACTGCGTCTAAAAATAATTAAATTTTTCTAGGGTGGAAACTTTGCACACGTATTATCAACTGCGCTATATTTTGTGCGTGGGAAAGGTAGGATTCCAATGAACTGTGAACTCAAAAGTCATACAATTTTTTATATATTTTTAAATTTAACTTTGTTTATATATAAAAATAAGTACATTTAAGTATAATAAACATTTCAGCTAACGTATTTGCTACATTTCACCTTTAATTTCCTTCGATTAATCCAAAATAATAGTAATGCACAGGGACACCTATAAAGCTCTAATGGCATTCGACACTAACAAAACAATATAGGTGGCATTGTAAATAAGCTCGCTGATGAGATTTACACAGTCGTACATGGAAAAACTAAGTACAATTGCAAAATGAAATCATTCGATTATCATGTGCCTGCTCATTGTAAAAAATCTACTGGAATGTAAATTTGAAGGGGTTGTCTTTGGTCGATGCAACACTTATTTCTCCGATCTGATGCGATTGCAAAAACTGAGACACTTATATTAAATCGTTTGGGCTTTCACTAATAGAATTGACGTAACTTTGCTTTCTGGAAGTTTTGCTGGATCCTCCGAGATTTCTTCCGCTCGTTGGTGTACCTTTCACAACTTTTCCAACCATAATATTAGTTTGAAAGCACCACATCTGCACCAGGCAGGTTCGAAAACTGTCCGATAAAACACCATACAGTAAGGGATTTACAACTGTGTTTAGTAGAGCGATAATAAGGGACGCGACGAAATAAGTTGATCGCATGAAAAAGTTGGTGTCTTCATTTGGACGCCTTCCGTCGATGAATATCAGCAGTACCGCAATCGTTATCGGTAACCACATAAGCAATACTACAATAACGTTTAAAAATAAAATGCGTACAACACGAATGTGTTTGTTCAGTCTTAATTCTTCATGTTGGGATAGAGATCCGTGTCTTCCACCCGGAGAGCCAGAAATGTGACTATTTGATGAAAATTTTCTCGGCCAAGGTGCTAATATATCACTGATGCTGATTTCACTTTGCCTCCTAATTTGGTCTCGGTTTCCATAACCTTTCGCATCCGTCGTACTTACGACGACGCAGGACGCCGCCCAAGTATTTCTCGTGGAGTAAATCTTGTGGAATATCCTTTGGTAATTATAAACCAGTACAACCATCGGTAGCAGACAGGCGATGAGTATCAGAGGAACGACGAATATGAATGAGTAATGAACAGAGTCGGACTTTGGAAAAACGATCGTACAAACAATTGTATTCTTATCAATTTCTATCTCTCGAAACCAGAAGGTGACGGGAATAAACACCAACGATGTTAATAGCCACGTAGCTGCGGCGCATAGTGTGGCTTGTTTCGGCTCTATTTTCGATCGGTATGGTGGCACTACAATACACCTGTATCTGTCCATGCTAATCAAGCAGAGAGTCCATAGCATAACGATCCCAGAGACAAACTGTAACAAAAAAGTTTCATTACTTTTTGTATCTTCAGTTACTTTCTTTATGGTGTAAATTGCCCGACATATAACAAAAAAAGATTGAATGCTTTTCTCGTAGTACCTATCAGACGTTCGTGGGCTTAATTAAAGTTTTTTCATATTGATTACCTACGTTATTAAATTCAATATTCTATTATTAGAATAAATTTAATATAAATCGAATCATGTAGTTATGTTAACACCACTTTCATTAAATGTATATTATTATGTAGGGCGTTAAGCAATAAATGTGCAAATAACGAAATTTTCTAACATTCTCCCTTTGAGAAATTTATTCTTTTCCAGTAGGAAGGTTTTATGGCAGCACTTAAATAACAAATCAGAATTGTAAAACGGTGTTTATTAGAAACCTCCGACCAGGGGCGGATTTATACATTATAGCCTAAAGCAACAAAAAACAAGGCTTGCAAAGTTTGCATGATTGACGAATATTACATATAAAGATCTTGCGTCATCAATTGCATTACGTACGCATTGGTCAGAAGGAATCTGCACTTCGATTTTGTGCAATTGCGTCAATAAACCAAATTTTAAAACTCCGCTTCCGAATTCGGTTCCGATATAACCACTTCCGTTACATCCCTAATGCCTATGATAAACATCCTCATCTTGGACACAGTGTATAATCTAATTTAATGCGTAGGTATACCGTATAGCCCAGTCAAATGGTGATTTTTCCAAAACAAAATTGCGGAAGTTTTTTTCTCAACGGTTTTATATGTTTTCGAGGGTGCTGAATCTAAATTTTTGGTTTGCTGCCTTATAGGAGATCGGCTTCATAGCCAAAACCGCAAAAAATCGGCATTTTTAAGCACTTTTTTTAGTTGTTTGCTTATATCTTAAAAACTACACGTTTTTTGAAGATGCGCGTTCTACACAAAATTAAAGCAAACAAAATTTCCTACAAAATGTTATAGTGCATTTTGATTTTGTGTTAAGCGGTCTTCGCGCTAGAGCTCAGTGAAACACAATATTTTTTTTTCACAAAAACGTCTAAAACGCCCACTTTCATCTCTTGCAACAAAAGATATCTGGCATATTTAATCTTCTCACAAAAGTTTTGTATGAAAAACATTAATATATTTACAAATTATTAGGTAGTTACATTAAACTCAAAATAAAGCTAACGAAATGATTGAAATATGTGCCCAGGATCATCATTCCTTTGAGAGACCTGACGTCATAGCCGCAGTTAATTTGTACGTTTCCGTTTTGTTTTACGTCGTCCACTAGAAGGCCCAGGTAAAGGGTCTTGGGCAATCGAAAGTCCAGACAAAGAGTCAGGAGTTGTGGAAGGTCCAGGCTGAATAGTAAATTGTGACTGTTCTTCCACTGAAAAAAACATTACATTGAAAAGTGTGACGCTAGAAAAAACTAAGTAAAAATTCATAATAATGATGCAAAATCTTATATAAATTGATACCTTCTGTCTCTCCAGCCGCTTCAGGCCGTAAGACTGGAATTGGCTCATCCAGATCCAGATTCGCATTCTGCATCGTATATATCGTCCATGTTGGAGCACGACCCTTCACACTGCTGGCACAGTTTTTTGCAAAACAGTCCTGCCCGCTTACACTCGCACCGACCTAGGCAACCTCTCTTGCATTTCCAAGATATAAGCTGGAGACTCTCCGGAGTCTGAGATCTAGATGTAGTAATGGGAACCAATCCATTTCTTGTCAACTTCCAACCCCGCTTTTCTGGATCCAAGTTAGTTTCCTATCCACTGCTGCACCTGATGAAAAACCCTAAAGGCGTCTTGTTGGGCATACCGCAAAACAAAAGCAAGCGGTCGCCATAGGAATGAAGTGTTGGGAGTGATAGACGCGCCTTAGGTCCTCTTCTACGTTGAATTAAGTTTTTTGTTGATTACTTGTTTATTCCTCGATTTGACAGAGGTGGTACTGGGCGCTTTTGTAAAAATTAAAAAAATCGTGTTTTGTTTAGCGAACCCCAACGCAGGTACCGCTTATCACAAAATAAAAGCTAAATAATGTATTTTGTAGGAAATTTTATTTGCTTTAATTTTGTATAGGGCGCCCATCTTCAAAAAAACGTATGTTTTTGAGATATGAGCAAAAAACTGAAAAAAGTACTGAAAAATTAATAATAATAATAATAATAATAATAATATATATTTGACGGACAATAATATCCATTATAAAAATTACAAATAACTTAACCATACAATTTATGTTCCAGTTCTCTCCGGAACTTCGAGAATGGTACACTAAACATGTTAATATTAAGCCCGTTTGCATCTGAGCAAATCTTATCAATTGGTGAAAACATGGCGTAATTAGTTCTATGCATATTAATGTAAAATAATTTCTTGCTGCTAGTTCTTTTGATGGGTGCCAGAAAATTTAGATTAGATTTAATGGTTTGATGTTTACCATGACCCTAATTAGTGAGTAGTCTATGCTATCAACATTATCTCCTAATTTGTATGCCAAGAATCTTAACAGCTTATTTTGTACTTTTTCTAGTCTAACAGAGTGAGTTACATAATATGGTCACCAGACAATTGAACAATATTCTAGAATGCTACGGACAAAAGCTATGTAAACAGCTTTAATGCAAGACACACGCTTAAGCATTCCACACGACCTTTTCACAAACCCTAACATCTTTAGTGCTGTATTAACAGTAATATTGATGTGATCAGTAAATGTAAGTTCGCAATCAAAATGAACACCTAGATCTTTAATTAATGTCACATTTTCGAGTACTTTTTGCCCTAGGCAGTAATTGAATTTAATTGGATTTTTTATTCTGTAAAAGCTGATGGATTTGCATTTACCTACATTTAACTCCATTTCATTCAATTTACACTACTTCTCCAAGTTATCAAGGTCAAGCTGCATATTAAGGCAATCTTGCAATGATTTGATTTCAGTATACATTTTAAGATCATCAGCGAACAAAAGGTATTTACAGTGTATTACGAAATCACATACATCATTAATAAAACAATTAAATAAAACTGGAGACAAATGACCACCTTGAGGTAAACCAGATGTAATTTTGATTTTTTTGGTTTTAAAATAATTTTGTATCAATACAGTTTGTGTTCGTTCGGATAAGTAGCTAGAAAGCCATACATTAAAATTACCGGACACCCCCATTGCATCCAGTTTGGCAAGCAAAATTTTGTGAGACACCCTATCGAATGCTTTAGTAAAGTCCGTGTAAATGGCATCCACTTGTATACGATTTTCCATGGCATTGAGTAAGTGGTGTTTGTACGTTATTAAGTTGGTTTGTGTTGATCTATGTTTCACAAAACCGTGCTGGTGATCGGTCAATAAACAATTTAAAATGGGTGTAACTTTATCAGAAACGATTTTTTCAAAAATCTTTGGTATTTGTGAAATTCTTGATATTGGCCTGTAATTTTGCACTAATTCCCTATCTCCCGCTTTGTGTAATGGTATTAAAAAACTTTCTTTCCATTGTATAGGAAAGTATCCAGATTTAAGTGATAGCGAATAAAGGAACAGCAATGGTTTTGCCAAAGTAAAACGGCACTCCTTTAAGATTAGTGGTGGTACTCCATCTGGGCCGACACCTTTTTTAGTATTCAATTGTTCAAGTTTTGTGAAAACATCATTTGCAGAGACAGTTAAAGTATTTAAATGTACAGTCTTAACATATTGAAAATCAGGTACACAAGTATCACGCACATTTGGATACACCGAATCAAAGAAATTGGCAAAGAAATTTGCAATTTCGCACGGATCATCTGTAACACTACCATTGTAACACATACTGTTAGGTAAGGAATGGCTTCGTTTAGAGTCATGTACAAATGTCCAGAAATATTTAGGGTCTGTGTGAATATTATTTTCGGTAACATTAATATAGTCACTGTAGCACTCGTTTATGAGTTTATTGCATTTAGTTCGTAAACCACTAAATATTAAATAATCACCAGACAGGCGCGTTTGTTTATATTTTTTATGAGCAACCTTTTTCTGCACAAGAAGTTCTTTTACATGACGTGAAAACCATTTAGGAAACTTAGAAGTGGCACTTTTCCTTCTAGGTACATATAGTTCAAAAAAATGATGCAGTAGTTCATAAAAAGACTGTACACAAACATTCATATCACAGCTGGAAAACAATAAATCCCAATTCACTAGCGAAAGGTGCAAATTCAGGTTTGCAAAATCACAGTTTTTAAAATCATAATAAAAATAATCAGCTTTCAGCTCATCAGCACCAAGTTGACATGATTCAACTATTAGACTGATAGGGGGATGATAATGATCAATTGGAAGTAAGAAATCCTCTGCTGTGTGTGTAACCAAGCTAAAGTCATTTGTAAACACTAAATCTAGAATTACATTGTAATCATTGCGCACGTTATTTACTTGATATAAATTTAGATAGGCAAAATGATCAGCTACTATAGTTCCTGATTCATTTAATTGGCCCGTTGCATGAAGACCATATTGGTCGTTGATCCACTTGATATTGGGTAAATTGTAATCGCCACACAAAATTAGCACGTGGTCGGGATACCGATTAAGAACATTTTCAGTTGCAGTACAGTGTAAGTCGTAAACGTCTGAATGTGAATTGGGTGGAATATACACATTACCTATGATGTAACATTTACCGAGAAACATAACCAATACGAAAATATGCTCAACATTATCGACAGTGGTTGAGATCAATTTAGACATCAATGTTTTATTCACCGCGATAAGTACACCACCACCACGTTTTAAGTTACTAGTTAGGATATTACGATCCTGCCTGTACACGTTGTAATTACTACTAATTTGTAATTCACTTGAAGAAATATCCTGGTTTAACCATGTTTCTGTAAGACAAATAACGTCGTAATTAGTTGCAAACACAGACTGCATTAAATTTTGCATTTTAGTTCTAATACCCCTAACATTTTGGTAATATACTTGCATGGTGGATTTAGTTATTGCTTCGGT